GCCTGAGGATCAGAAAGTATGTTCATGATTGCCAGTGCTCACACTTTTTGGCTCACTTCCTGTATCTAACCTTACCCTTTCTGCACTTCTATGACCTCCCCTCACTGTTATTTGTGCCTTTCAGTTGTAGGGTGTTTTTTTCCCCACACCTGGTCACATGGGGCCACCTTTGCATGCAAGTTACCAATAACAAGCCTACATTCTGAGGTGTGGACACTGCCTGCTCCCACATGCACAGACAGTCCAAGATAAAGACAGACCCCCAAAGTGATTGACAGTGGCTCCCAAACTCAGGCAGCATCCTCACATACAGTATATTTCATCAATGAATGTCTATGGGCCATATGACTAATGGGTCCCAAAAAGACTAATGGGTCTTGAAATTCTAAATACTGTGATCAGGTGGCTGAAGATACATTGAGTACATTGAGTACTCCTTGCCCACAAGTAGAAATGTGACTGCACTGTTTGGCAAAGAATGGTTAAAGCATCTGTGCTATATTAATCTATAGCAAGATGTTTTAGGTAAAAGCTATTAGGCTTTGGTACTACTTTAATAACAGCAAGAAAAATCATTTTGACCTCCCTATCAGGGACTTATAAATTTCTACGTCTCAAACATGTCTTGAATTCGCTGCCAAGGTACGGACAATAGATTTCCCAATAATCCTCACATTCTACAATAGATCAACCCCACTGAGGAAAGGCATCTCGTACATGTACTGCATTCTTACCCACAGTCAGACAAAAATCTATGCTACAATAGGAGGTGAATCTTTCTTAATCGTTTCAGCCAGCCCAATGGATACAGACTATGAGATTGTTTCTTACATAGTCGTGTCATTTACTGGGAAACTTCCCTTAAATTAACACACCAGTGATACTATACCCCAAGCTCATCTAGCCAAAATCTTCCCTTCTGCTTCACATGTTGGACTGCGGGAACATCAGTACTCATCTACATGTTTGATGGGCTTGTCCTAAAGTTTAAAAATTCTGGGACAGTCTTTTCTTTAATTTCTGAGTTACAGATCATCATTAATCTGGAATCAGCTATGGCACTACTGTTGATAAACAATAAACAGGGGCCTTCAGAACACAGGTCCTTTGTATAATCGATGCCAGAAGATCTGTGGTAACAGCTTGGAAACAGAAGGACCCTCCGGAGTTCATGTCCTTTTATCTAATTTGAACATGCAAACACAATTTAAATTAATATTTGCCATCAAAAATGGTAAGCAACAGGCCTTTTGGTCACAGTGGTCCCCTTTGAGATACCACAATGTCTTGCTATAACTATCATGAACGAGGTGAACCCTACTATTCTGAATGAAAGAACTTGATGTACGATTTTTGCTGAACCATACTTTTCAAAAAATTTGGATATGTTCTCTTTTTTGTTTATTTGTTTGTTTCTCCTTACCCTTTCCCCCTCCTCTTTTCTCTAACACCTTTTCTCTGCGCTAGAGTGGATGTACTTTAGTGTCCGTTTATGAAACTGAGATCAGTGGCAATCCTGGGGATCGTTTCTGATCTCAGATCATTAGTGGTTTATGAAACAGAGATGATCAGCGGAGAACATGTTCTCCGCTGATCATCTCTGCGCACAGAGAATGTCACTGACAGAAACAGAAATGGTCAGCTTATGAAGGAACTCAGAGAACTGAGCAGCAGTTATTTACTGCTGCATGATAAACGGACACCTTTGTATCTTAGAGGTGACTATCTGATGGCATGTTGAATGGCAATGCACTTATACTTTATGTTGAATGTTTCTGTATTCTCTTTGCTAAAAATAAATATATAACGAGAAAAGACAAAATGCAACACATATCAGACAAAAACTTCAATAGGGAAGAGTGTACTTATCTTGACACACCACTTTTGTAACCTTTGGGAAAAAATATACTGAGCTACTTAATTTTTACTTAATTCTGTTTTGGATGAATGATAAATTCCTGGTCAATGGTTAATTGATATTCTGGAACAAAAAATAATACTTATAGTATGCATAAACTGCTTTTATACACTCTCAAATCTATTGATACGTGTACTGTAAAATGAACAACTACTGTAATATATCTGGAGTTTTATCTTGTTTGTATAACTAAAGGCAAAACTTTATTTCAATTGGGATAGTGTGGTGAGGGATTAGTACACCTGTCAAGTTGGTACTGCATTCTGTGTCCCGTTAGGGAGAGTCACCCTCTCTATTTGTCCAGTTTACTATTTCAAGATCAAAAGTGAAATCCCAAATTTTGTGCTGTCACCAAAACAGGAATAGAAGAGAAATCTTCCAATGGGGACACTAGATCTGGTGACAACCAAGAATTTCCTGTCACTTCCTGTTTTCGCTATTGGACAGGAAGTGAAGGAAAATCTCCCAAAAAAGAACACAGATGGCAAAAAACTGACAGGGGTTATAACATTGCGCTATCCAAAATGAAAAAAAAAAAGTTTTGTCTTTAGTTCTACTTTAAATGTAAAAGCAAAAAAGCTATGGCTGCAAGAAGTTCACAAGAAACAGTCCCATGTTTGCTTTGTAGGTAATGAAAGATAGACTAATGCAAATTAAATAAATAAATAAATCATGTGCTGAAAGCATATATGGCAGAAATATGCAAATGCAGGAACCCGTAGTGATTTTATTATTGGTCTGCCTGCTACACGGAAAACAAAAGTGAAATATGGTCAATTTGCTGTGCATTACTTAGCGCCATTGCCCATTCTGTAATGTCTAATGTACATTAAAGAAATGCAGATTGAAATTATTGACACATACCGTTAATAAATTGGAATACATTTATTATCATACAAAATTTTTATTTTTACACAAGAGAGTCTGTGGATGAAACAGAACATGCACATTTTGTGTTAGCATGTGTTACTTGTCTGGAGGTCATTGATCAAGGACTAAGGCACAATTCTCATGCTCTCTTGTGTCAATTATAAAGCACAATGGGGTCACAATATGAAGACAAATACTTCCTTCATGAATGTAGACAAGTTACTATGTCTAAGTCGAGGCTTTTTTAAAATTTTTTTGCAATATAAATTGACACAACACAGAATTATGTCACAGTGATTTTCCCTTGATAAACGACCATCACAGCCATTGGTAAGCTTTTCTATCCCACGATTCTGTGCCATTGTGCTTTAATGTTTGATCTGTATAAATTCTTTTTAATTCTTCAGGTCTGGTCAACACACAGTAACATGTTGTGCTGTAAAGGTGGATGGGTTACATACTGTACAGTAAGTGAAGGAAAGATTAGGAGTGTGGGTACACAGCTGCCAAACTTGTGCTTTATTCCTATCATTTCTAAGAGAAGGAATGGCAAAATATAACATACGGGCACAAGTTCAAGAAGTCTGCTAAGTACAATAGTTCATTATGTCATTTTCACAGCAAAATAAATGCATTTCAGTAGATGTCTTAAAAATACCATGCACTCCATAAGCTATATCTTTTTTTCTTTTCTTACCCATTACAACATACCTCTGCTTTATATCTTTGTAACATCTAGAAGCATAAAGCATCTAATCTTTCTGTATATTTACAAATTGAACAAAATATCTACATACAAAAGCTTACTTAAAATTAAACTTGATGCAAGTTATGAAAAAGCAATTTATTGGCAAATGAAACTGAGCATTGCTTCAACCATAGGCTGTTATATAATTTCATATGAAGCTAAACCACAGTATTGGAAAAGTCGACTTACTCAAAGTAACGGTTTCATGGCGGATGCCCGGTATCCGCCTCTACTAATCTTTGTTAGCAGCTTTCTCTTTTGCATTCCATTTTCTTATCATTTATTTAGCTCTGTGAGAATCTTAATCATGTTTGCTACAAGCTGAAGGTTGTGTGGAACACCTTCTAAAGAACTGGTGGATGTGTCCTCCAGTTTTATGTATAAAGAATGTAGGGATTTCAGTGTATGCTGTGCTTTCAGTTTGGAGTGTGATTAGTGTTTGTGCTATGCACTCTTTACCATCCATAGAAATGCCAGTAAACAGTGGATCTGCAGCAGCAATTTACAATACAGAAGATTACTCTCCATTTCAGTATAACATTTATCATATTTTTTTTCAATAATTTACACAATTTACATTTTTGGCAATCAAAATACTGTAGTTCACTAGTCAAACTTTGCTCTTTTATCCAGCCAAGCAGTGCATCATGGAATGCATATCAAATAAAGGCACTGAACAGTATGCTTGCAGGTTCATAATGCTGATCATGGCATTCCAATGTCCCCTCAGTGACTGAAAAATACAAATCCCAGAATGCATTGCAAAGCATATCATTTGTTCATTCTAAATAACCTGATTGATACATGGTGTACAAAATACAATGTGTAATACTTTATACGTTAAAGGCGATAAAATAATGGGCGCAGAGAGATTATATTTGGGTTGGAGTAAGCATCAGCAAATGCAAGTGTCATACTTAAATTATTTAGCCATCATATATATATGTTCTAGTCTTTTATAAAGACATGGTATATATTATACAATAAATTCACCAATTTCACCAGCAATGCCTATATAGACATTGAAGTTTTACACACTGTAACACTACTATAATACTGACAAAGGAAACGGACTCTATACCCAGGTGTCAGAGCAAGGACTGCATAACAAAGGACCATACCATGGCATACATACACTAGTTGGTATGTGAAATGTGTACCATTTCATGCATTTACAGTTTTCATAAAGGAAAGAGGACTTTAGGCTTCTTTCATCTTGCTACATTGTAGATTCTGTGTCAGTTCCTGCACACTGTAGAAAACAATTACGCTTTGAACAAGAAGATGACATTGTACTGTCACACTGACATCCAGTATCACTTACAACAGTTTGTGTTTTGATTGTATTGTTCGATGTATGAATATGCCTCTACATAGTGTTTCCATATAATCACTGAATGATAACTGGGTGCACTGAATGGAACATGGCAGTCTGCAAAAGAGAATGTGACCAGGTGGCAATCCCTACACAAAGGAGTTCATAGCATTCACCGGAGATGGAGCTTCTGAACTTTCATTGCCTTCTACGGGCTCTTTTTCTTTTTTACCACTGTATTGTCCTATAAAGGAACCATCTTCATTAAACTGGCCATTTACTCCTTCCCCATAGTCAACTAAACTGTCATCACTGTCTTCTTTTTTCACCGTTCTATCTGAGGGAGTTCGGCTTCCTTTTTTAAGAGGTTTGTGGTCTTCAGCATCGCTGATAGAAAAAAGAAGCATAACTTGAGAAAACACGAACACATGATTTTCTAATGACTACAGCATATTTGTGATACATTCTTATTACTCTTCTTATATAAACATGATCATTGTAGGAGAGATAGAGGAAAGACAACTATTTCTTATGTATGTTAATACTCAGATGTACAGACTAGATATCTCAATGACAGAGTAAACATTATGTAAGATTTACAGAACATAAGAAACATTTGTAAATGCTATCACATGTATCACTCTAAACAAGGAAAGTCATAGGATAAATGTCAGGATTTGTATACATTTTACAAACATATGCTCCTACCTTTCAATTAATCTATATATCCCATAGCAAAAATAAAGAAAATAAATACAAATCACCTAAGGAAAAGAAATCATTGTGTGCACATGAAATTAGTTAGCTTGATTGCAAATTATGTTTCTCATGATACAGCATAATCAAATATCATAACAAATGAACATGCATTTTTCAAGGGGATTTTCCCTTAGCTTATTGAATGTGGTAAAAAATGCACTTTGCAAAGAGTACCCAATCATGTGCAAAAAAAAAAACTGTATTTTTGATTGCACATGATTTAATAATCGAAGTCAGCAGAACTTCACCTCATTCACTAAGCTAAGGGAAAACTCCCTTTCAAAATGAACATCCTTTTCACCGTTAGTAAATCAATGTCATGGTGTCTGATTTACTACAATGTGAAGTGAGGGGATACTGGACCTAACTTACTACATGGCACTAAAATATAATTATATCAGATTGGATTCGAATTGCACATGTTTGATTTTACTGAGTGCAGAATATTCTGATGCATGGTGAATCATGCAATTCAAAAATGTAGACAAACAGGATTAATAATATATAACAGTGGTCTCCAAACTGTGGCCCTTTGCCTGCCCTTATCCAGCCCTTGAGACATTATTCCTGCCACTCATACCAATAATGGGGAAAAACTCCCGACACTGACACCAACAATGGGGCAACATTTCTTCCACTGACACCAACAATAGGGCATTATTCCTTCCACTGACACCAACTGGCACTTTTCCTCCCATAACAATTCCTCCCCCCAATACAAAAGATCAGGCATTGTTTACTCTCACTGGGCACAGCTGGCCCCCCTGAAGCTCGAAGGATAGTAAACTGGCCATTTCTTTGGAAAGTTTGGAGACCACTGATATATACTGTATTTATACTTGTGAAAAAGGTTTACTCCTCAGTTGATTTGCCCATCCCCACTGTTTACACCAATGAGCTGTGGAGAAGTCATGTAAGCTGCATTTTGGGTATGCTGATCTACATTAAGTTATGCAATCCAATTGAAGGAAATCCTTAACAATGTACCTCAGTATACACATTTCAGGTGTGAATCAACTCCATTATGTCAAGTGGGATGAATGCTTGCTTCAAACATCTAGTTATTGCAAGAAAATGTATTTCTTTTTTCAAATTCCCTAGCACAAAACTAGGCATTGAATTGAACGCAGGTACAATTACCTTTATCAGCCTCCTACTGATGTTCTTAGCATCGTTAAGGCAGCCCTTCATAAAGTCAATGAAACAAAAAGCATCTGACATTCTAGTAGTTTTTATGTATTTTTTTTTTAACAAGTTTAATTCACCTCACTTTCGGTTAGAAAGAGAATTTTGAGAAATATGCCTTATCTGAAGTACACGTTCGTCAGTTGTGTGGCTGGGGTTATGTTTGGAAGATCCTTCCCTGCTCCTATAATGTGCCTTTATAATATGCCTGCCCATAGGCAATACAGGTGACTGGACATGCCTATATAATCCAACTGCTGATTTACAAAACTGACTGGCGCACAGTACACAAGTAAAAATTCTGCTTCTATTCTCTACTTAGCACTTGCAACAAAATCACTTAAAAATGTTACCTCTGCCAACAGACAACTGCCTCTACTAGTCAGAGAGCAGATTGTTTTACTTATTCATTTAAAAAACTAAATGCAAATAAAAGTGACAGTGTTGCCATTGAAAGACAAGCTGTCATTTCTCTAAGATGCTTTGGAAAATTAAAACCTGTCTAATTGCTAGAGGCATCTCTGATAGCTTCTGGTTGTTTTTATTTTAGAAATGACCAAATATGTAGAATTTGCAGTTAGACTTGTACCTGTATTCACCGAATGTTCCATCATCTTCTTTCATAGGCTGGATTTCAGGATCTGCATGAGCATCTTCTTTTTCTTTAACTTTAACACAAAAGCACAATAAGATCGAATTACTTGAGAGACACTCCTTTATTCTACCATAATACAGACTTCACTACATGCAGACTTCTTTTTAACTATCCTAACATCTACAGGTGAAACTCAAAAAATTAGAATATTGTGCAAAAGTTCATTTATTTCAGTAATGCAACTTAAAAAGTGAAACTAATATATGAGATAGACTCATTACATGCAAAGCAAGATAGTTCAAGCCATGACTTGTCATAATTGTGATGATTATGGCTTACAGCTCATGAAAACCCCAAATCCACAATCTCAGAAAATTAGAATATTGTGAAAAGGTGCAATATTCTCGGCTCAAAGTTTCCCACTCTAATCAACTAATTAAGCCATAACACCTGCAAAGGGTTCCTGAGCCTTTAAATGGTCTCTCAGTCTGGTTCAGTAGGAATCACAATCATGGGAAAGACTGATGACCTGACAGTTGTGCAGAAAACCATCATTGACACCCTCCATAAGGAGGGAAAGCCTCAAAAAGTAATTGCAAAAGAAGGTGGATGTTCCCAAAGTGCTGTATCAAAGCACATTAATAGAAAGGTATGTGGAAGGGAAAAGCATGGAAGAAAAAGGTGCACAAGCAGCAGGGATGACTGCAGCCTGGAGAGGATAGTCAGGAAAAGGCCATTCAAATGTGTTGTGGACTTTCACAAGGAGTGGACTGAGGCTGGAGTCAGTGCATCAAGAGCTACCACACACAGACAGATCCTGGACATGGGCTTCAAATGTCGTATTACTCTTGTCAAGCTGCTCCTGAACAACAAACAACGTCAGATACATCTTACATGGGCTAAAGAAAAACAGACCTGGTCTGTTGCTCAGTGGTCCAAAGTCCTCTTTTCTGATGAGAGCAACTTTTTCATCTCATTTGGAAACCAAAGACCCAGAGTATGGAGGAAGAATGGAGAGGCACACACTGCAAGATGCTTGCAGTCCCATGTGAAGTTTCCACAGTCTGTGTTGATTTGGGGAGCCATGTAATCTGCTGGTGTTGGTCCACTGTGCTTCATTAAGTCCAGGGTCAACGCAGCCATCTACCAGGAGATTTTGGAGCACTTCATGTTTCCTTCCTCAGACAAGCTTTATGGGGATGCTGACTTCATTTTCCAGCAGGCCTTGGCACCTGCCCACACTGCCAAAAGCACCAAAACCTGGTTCAATGATCGTGGGATTACTGTGCTTGATTGGCCAGCAAACCAACCTCACCTGACCTGAACCCCATAGAGAATCTATGGGGCATTGCCAAGAGAAAGATGAGAGACATGAGACCGAACAATGCAGAAGAGCTGAAGGCCACTATTGAAGCATCCTGGTCTTCCATAACACTTCAGCAGTGCTACAGGCTGATAGCTTCCATGCCACGCCGCATTGAGGCAGTAATTGCTGCAATAGGTGCCCAAACCAAGTACTGAGTACATATGCATGCTTATACTTTTCAGAGGTCCGATATTGTTCTATGTACAATCCTTGTTTTATTGATTACATGTAATATTCTAATTTTCTGAGATTGTGGATTTGGGGTTTTCATGAGCTGTAAACCATAATCATCACAATTATGACAAATCATGGCTTGAACTATCTTGCTTTGCATGTAATGAGTCTATCTCATATATTAATTTCACCTTTTAAGTTGCATTACCGAAATAAAGGAACTTTTGCACGATATTCTAATTTTTTGAGTTTCACCTGTATGTCACACTAGGACTCAACTCACCTTCTGCTATGGAATCATTCACTTATTGCCCAAACCAGTAAAGTGTGCCTATATCACTGCTCCCTTGCCTTGCATTTCAGTTAACAAGGGAGTGCCTTCCTTTAGGGAAAGTGGTAGTTTTGGGAATTAATAATAGTAGTAGTAATTTGGGGATTCTGCAAAATCACCAGTGTGATCTTGTCGGAAAGGGGCAGATGACAGTATTTACATTTCTTGCAGGTATCAGCATGTTTGTGACACCACAGCCTGTACCCTCCTTGGTCAAGTTTCTTTCTTGCAAATGAAGTTGCTTCTGACCACATCTAAATGAAGAAATGAAAAGATTGCACACTACATCTTACTTTCCTTTAAAGTACTGATGAATTTCTAGCTGTACTCACACTGTGCCAAAGAACACTTTATAGTCTGTGTGGATTTGGAATAAAAGAACATATGTTTTTGGTTAAAACACAGTGTACAATTTGCTCTTTTTCCATATTGTGTTATTTGTTGAGGCTGGGCAAGAGCCAAGATCTGCCCCTACATATGGACCACTCTGGATCAGGATTTAAAACTTATACTTCTGACCACACTTGTAAGAAAGGATGCTCAGGTGGACCACTAAGTTTAGATGTTGGTAGCTTTTCCTTTCAAGTGTGAGGATTCAGTTCGGCAGCTCCAGCACCTTCTTCTGAGTGCCAGTCTTTGGAGCTCTTCACTGGCCAGAGTGGGATGAAATCACTCCGTTGCATGTGCAAGAGCCTGTCATCCCAGCACTCAGAGACTGGTACAACACTGTAAACTGAACTGCAAATGCTCAGCTCAGTTTACAACAATGGAAAAGGCAGTGAGCAGGCAAGCAGGAGCATTTTTATTGCAGAAGAGACATTGCATGTCTCTTCTGCAATAAAAGCCTGACTGCTCACTGTTTTTTACAGTGGAAATTTAGTTCCATTTTAAGTGGCAGGGCTTAGCGTACAAGTTAGTTTACGTACGTGTGCTGCTCAAGACTTAGGGGTTGAAAATTAGTTGCTCGGGTAGGGTTAGGTTTTGGGAAAGGAAGGGGGTAAATAAAACCCAAGTCCAGACACCCCCCACTGGAGCACCTAGTGACCATTTTTTGAAAAAGGTTTTATACATAAGTCTAAGATTAATCTAAGACTGGATGTCTGACGTGAACATGGGTTACTTCACCTCACTTCATACTTTAAGCCTGGTACACCGGCTTGTGTGTACAGCAGCCTGTCTGGCAGAAGCCAGACAAAAGTCCAGCTTCTGTAGGATGGCCATGGGGGTGTGTGGCAGTCCCCCTGTCAGAACACAATAGATCAGCAGGGAGTTCATTGTACTAACATTGCATAGTTAGTACAGTGAGCTCCTCAGCTTTTTTGTTCAGCCTGCTGGGCTGAGCATAAAAAAAAAAATAATGGTGTGTAACCAGGCATTAGTAAAGTGTGAAGTGAGGCAGCTGATAGCACAGCAACTAAGAGACTTTAGAGGACCTCTGTCATCTGAAAAGTCAGGCTCAGACTTAGGTTGGCCATACACTATACAATTTTCTGTCCAATTTTTGCCTAATTTCCTTTAGGTTTACCTTCAACTATGTAGTGCAAGAGCCTGCCTAATTGGATACAATTGAAAGTGTATTATTAAACCTATTATATGGTTTTTGGTAAATCTAAATCAAAAGTCTCAAGAAAATTGTATAATGTATGGCCAGCCTTGGTATGTACATTTCTAAAAATGTAGGAATCTTGGAAAAGCCTAGTAGTAACTGGTTACCCAAGGGATAGGCGGAGTTTCAACATAAAAAAAAATGGAACATGTCTTGTTATTCTTTCTCACATGATTTATAATAGATAAACTGACATCACATACAGTGTTAGTTATTTTCTATGGAAGCAGTGGGTACACACACATCATAGCATAGAGGATATTAACTGCAGTGAAAGACATGGAATCCCTCATTGCTACTTCTGCCATGGAGTTATATTCATGCTGCTTTCTTAAAACGAATTCCATGGGAGGATTTGTATTTCTGTCCAGCCAGTCCTGATATTTACATAGCTCTGCCACACAGATCAGTGACCAGATACTTTCCTGCTGTATATTAGTGACAAGCTTAGTTGCGTCCCACCCCAGCCTGTGCCGGAAAAGTGAACGCCTCCTGTCAGCATATTCTTTTCAGCACATATGGCAACAGAACAACTAAACACAGCCTGGACAACTGCAGTACCCTCTCCTAGACTTAGTGCTGCTGTAAAGGGGAAAATTAGAGGCTGACATCAAGTCAAATTAATTTATACTAATTGCCTTTAAAATACAGTTCATTAGAGTTTTAATATAAATACGCAACTACATTTATAGGTGTGTTTTCCATAGCTGTTTGGGGTTCAGCTTTAACAAACAGAACTGTTGAATGCAATCCTTACCTGGGTACTTTCCTCCTTTGTTTCTCCGGATGAAACAAACAATCAATAAAACTAATATCAGGAGAGCTACCGCACACATGAGGCCAATAAACCATCCCTGTGTTGCAATGTCAACATGCCGACTTGCCATGACTGCAGAATATAATGAGATAGTTAGGTGCAGGATATACACTTATACTTTACAACCAATATTAGAGATACATTTTAAAAAGACCAGTCAAACTGCATCATCAAAAAATCTCCAAAAACACAGCACACATATGGGAACAGCCCTCTTACTAACACCACAGGTCACTAGAATTCTGTCTGTGTGTTTCATGCATTACAAAATGTATTTCAAGTATAGACAATGTGCACATGTGCTGTATAATTAAACCTCAAACATGCCCTTTAGAAATTTTTTACGTGTTCTTAGATACACAAGAAAAGCTCAGTGTGTTTCTTCATCATTTGTTCCAAACCTACTAAATTAAAAAGGAAAGAGAATGGCAATTTTTTCTTTTTTACATTCCAAGTGACCCAACTAGTAAGATGCACTTGCAAAAATTAAAATACTTCAAGTCGCAGACATACCAGACCACTTATGTAATTTGTGCATGAACAAAGTAGGTCAAACGCTGACTGGCTTAAATTATTAAATTGGGTGAAGGGAGTTTTAGGGCAGTTTTTGTAATTATAAATACCTGAATGCTGTAATGCAAACAATGCACATGGGATAACGTTAGATTTCCTGAAGCATTAAACTTGAGTTAGCAAAAACATTCATAAATAAGTACTGTATGTGGAAGTTTCAGAGGATAATATTTTTCAAATAATGAATATATCAATTTAGATCAAATCAGTATTACCCACACACAACTGACTTACTCTTTAGTAATCCTAAAAAGGAATAAGGTCTATCTACATAGTTTACTATATGGGCTCATGCACATGGGCACATGTACTGTGCATTTTCAGATCCTTACATATGTATGCATTCACCTCTGTACGCAACTAGCATACCTTCATAACAACACCTACACCAGGGGATCCTGGGCACCAAATACACCAATGACTTTACGCTATAAGGGTGAATGAACCCATGTGCATGAGCTGTAAAGCAGTCAGCTATTTCATATGACATTTTCCAAAGAAATAATATTCAGATGAGTATTTATGACACAATGTTGTAGTATCCTACTATATTTATTAAGAAAGGCATTCTGAGAAATAAAACCAATTAATTTACTGAGAATGATTAAATAACAGATCAATACTGTATGCTGCAAGTATTGATGGTAATATGCAAAATTATTTGTTTAAATGCTTAAACAGATGTGGATGTATTTTATAGGTAAGACAAAAAGCAAGACAATATATATATTTTTCAGTGGCGTGTTCTTAGTAAAGGCACTTTAGTTTTAGTAAAGCAATCCTAGCAAAAGACCAGTGTCACTAGACAAATCCATGGAACTGGAACTTTCTGGCCACGTTCCTTCACATGAACTGTATATTTCTATTAGAAAATAATCTGATGGTCACACACATTATACGTGTGCATCCACTGTCAGTATTTCCTGTACTTGATAGCATCATTTCGATACATGTTGGCACTGTTGTGTGTATAATTTAGAAGTTTAGGATTTTCATAATACAGAAAGCCCTTATTATCAATGAGCAATCTTTTTATGAAACTAATCACCCGCAATGTGGCAAGCATTACATCAATATCCTATTGAACTAGATACCATTTTATTTCATTTTATGAAAAATTCTAATTAAAAGACACATAGTAACCTGATATTCTTTTAAATAACTAGTACCAGACAATACAAGGACAACAATAAAAGTTAAATGAAGTACAATGAGCTTTGTCACAGATTCCATCCATTAATTGGGTCCAACTATTTAACAGCACTATACCTAAACAATGAACAGCTTTGAGCCTTAGCATGCATTCATTTAACCTGCAAAAAGACACAATTCATTCTTCTTCTGCTTTAACCACACAAACACACATTCACATGCCAAATGGTTATGTCAGCAGGAAAAGAATCACACGTATTTCTCTATCGACTCTTAGATAATACATTTCTATGAGTTGTATTTGTTGGAAGCACATTTCCACAGGTGTCTTCCACTTCTTATTGCTCAGATTGATTGGCTGCTGACATTTTCTCTTTTGTTGCTTGTAAAATGTTTGAATTGATACATATTTTTTCTTGAAAGCATGCAGGAATATAGATAAGCTTATGTGAGGCACAGGAGTCACTGCAGAGATGCCTCACCTGGACCTGTCTGAAATGTGTCTTCTGCATACGGTTCATTGTGATCATCATAATAAACTCGGACTCTATATGATGTTCCAGGAGATAAACCTTTTATTACCAAAGCACTCCGAGTACTATTTACAGATTCCTCTTTCCAGTCTTCTTTGCCTAGAAGAGTTTCAGGACAACACAGGAAACACTCATTGAACGGTCCAAATGAAAGTCTAGGCGCTTCTGACTGTAGTAGAATAATATGCATACCAAAGCTGGACAGGGTTTTGTATAGAAAGCATGCAATGTCTAGCTAGCTTTCCCCATAGCAAATCTTGAATCTGCAGTTTTTAAAATGTTGACAGTATTGAAAGGATGTACATTCTTGGCCTTACAAATGTAGACATCTAGTTTTAATTTGGAAAAAAAAATTGAAAAGGGGCAGGACAAATTTATGCTGGCAGGCCCAGATTTTTAGCTTAGAGAATGTCAAATTGAATCCTTGAATCCTCAAACTCAGTTCAGCTTGAACCCACAAGGTACTGTCACAGAAGACCGCTTTTCCAGTCAACTGTGGACTTGAAATTCCTTGCCCCACAGTCAATGAAAACAAAAGGAACAGGGTTGCTGGTGAAATCATTGACCTAATATGGCCACAAGACCATTTTTGGTTAATGACATTGACTGAATTAAACCCCAATCTTAGCTCATTCTTTAATTGTGAGCACACATTTTCCTGCCCTGTGTACAAATTAGGTATTGTAATTATTTAATTAAATATATATTTCTTATTGTTTGAGCCTTGCAGGTGACATTATTGACCTAATATGGCCACATGGCCATATTTGGTCAATGAAATTGTCTAAATAGAGTCACATGGTCATTTTTCTGCACTAATACAACAAGACTAATAAAAGTGGCCTCTGTGCATCTATCAAAGAAATCCAAATTTGGCTGCCTTATGTTTGAATACTTTGTTACCAGTCCCTGCCAATAATTGGAGTATTGGAATATTACTGGAGAGGAAGACTGTGCAACTCCATTAAATATTATGGAGTATAATTTTAAGCATTTTAGATTCCAAATACGATGTTGCAGCTAGAACAAACAATATTTAATATTTACTGAGAGTGATTTGATCAAGTCAAGTGTTACAGATATTTGCAGGTGTAGAAGGGCTTCAAAGTGATTCTCATACCCTATTTAAAGTAAGAGTGACCCCACATCATCATACAGCAGGGCCACTGGATCAGTCTATGCAATGTGTAGATTTAAAACATGTTTACTGCTGGGTCATCAACATAAAAGAGACATAAATGCTCAATTCACAAGCTAAAAACATTAGGATAAAAATCTCAATTTAAAAAGTGAGTTACTTTCAGCTGAGTCCATTAAGATTTGAAAATTATAGTAACATGGTTAAAATAAAGATCCTTGGGTTGAAGCTTCATGAAGTGAGACCAAAATATCAAAATATGTTTTGCAGAGGGCTGAATAAAAACTGTTTAAACATCTCTCATCACAACAAATTACAGGTCTCTTAGTAACTTAACATCACAATCAATAATAGTGATTGTAGTCAGTGTTCTGGGAAAAAAGTAGCAAGCACCGAACTGTGATGTCTTTGCAACTGTAATAGAAACAAATTGTCCTGATCCATGGGGTGAACATGGCCCAATCTATATCTCATGATGTTCAGTCAGTAATGTGCAGAGGGTACAAAATAAATGATCTCTTAAGAGAATTGATACTGATATACATTTAATATGAAGATAACTCCTTTACAATTTAGCAATATATGTAGTGTATAAAGAATGGGAAACTGTCAAACATAGAAGCACTTGCAATGATAAGAGAAAGGTTAAAAACATACTATATTATTTAGGAAAAATCTATATTTAAATGTCACTACATTATTTATGATTATATTGTGGAATCTTGCAAAAAGGGTGTATAATTGTTAAAGAATGGGGGGAATTACGAATGAAGAGCATGTATATGTATGTCACCGAGAATGTCTCATTTGTTATTTGTAAAAACGTGGCAGAATTATATTTTCTCTAAGGATAATATCATCAGTGTCCCACATATGTGACAGGCATAACAGGGTTTATTTACTAAAGCTGGAGAGTGCAAAATCTGGCTCACTTCTGCATAGAAACCAATCAGCTTCCAGGTTTTATTGCCAAAGCTTAATTGAGTAAACTGAGATTAAAAGCTGATTGGTTTCTATGCAGAAGTGAGCCTGATTTTGCACTCTCCAGCTTTAGTAAATAAACCCCAATGTGGCCCTACCAATATACCAAAGACCTCACTCTAAAGCAGGGGTAGGCAACCTTTTGAGCATGGTGTGCTGAAAAATGTTTTAGAAGAAATTTAGAGTGCCAGTTACAGTATATAAAAAATGTCAACTTTATACTCTCAATCACGAAAAATGAATTTTTATACAGTAAATGCTGTAAACTATTTGAATAATAGTAAGAAAATATTGAGCTTTCAAGGATGGTAAATGGTAACTTACCTCACAGAACATTTGTTCTGGAAAAGGGGTAACTATGGTAAGGTTGAAAGGAATATGGTGATAGTGGTAACCCTAATAAAGTTCTCTCAGATCAAACCCAATCTCTGCACCTTCAGACCTTAAATCAGCTCCCATTCCTGCACCTTCACACTTCGGTTCACACCAATTACTGCACCTTTACCCCTCAGATCACCCCAATACTTGCAACTTCACACCTCAGATTAGCCCAATTCCTGCACCTTCACACCTCCAATCACCCCAAATCCTGCACTTTTGCACCCCAGATAAGTCCCAATTCATGTTTCTTCAGGCCTCAGATCAGCTCCAGTTTCTGCACTTTCACACCCCAGACAGCACCAATTCCTATTTCT